TCCATGGAAATCATGAGTTGAATTTTTTTATTAGAAAGAAAAATATAAAAGGGAAATGCAGATAAAAATCAGAATGATTTTGAAGCAAACAAAAGGAAATAAGAAAAAATGGTAAGGTTATGGTCACATGAGATGGATAAGCTCAATTAGCATAGTGACATATCAATTGTTTAAGATCAGGCAAATGGAGACTCTTACAAACACATTATTTAGGGATGAGAAATTCATGCCTGAACGCAATGACTTGGAACAAAAAATGAGGTAAATATGAAGCAAAGAGAAATAGCATCACATTGTGTACTCCAACTGAGAAAATCTCACCAGCATAGCAAATTGTTGTCATACGGCGGCCGTCCGCCGAGGACCTTGAGAATTGAGATTGACCTCGATCGAAATCGTTGTCATACGCTACAGTCACGAGCAATCGACATTTTATAACTTGAATAGAATTTGTAAATAAAAAACTGAGTGGTAAAAATGATAAAAAAAGAATATAATGTAGAGAATTTATATAAGTAAAAATGAAATGAGAGAGAATTTATAGAATTGAAATCGAATTTATCTAGAACCAGAAAAAGAATTAGAAATTATATAAAATTTGGTGTGAATTTTCAGAATGGTGGGTTGGTATAAGTGTTTAAATAGCGTTTTTTAGCACGCTATATATCACACGCAATGGCACAAATCTCATAAAAAGTTGCGCTGTGGTGCACATAATTTCGCGTAGTTCCGGAACAGTGTGCGCTTTTTATGACGCTATTTGAGTTAACAATTTTTATAAGAAGAAAAATAAAAAAAAAAGAAAGGAAAACTAAAATTGAAGCCAGCGTCTCATTCTCGAGTCCCGGTGCCTGCGGTGAGAACTTACAAAGCACCTGCTGTGAGTTATCTCCCCACCATTTGATCACGTTAAGTTAACACCCCAATACCTCATTCTCACGGGCACGAAAAAAGTAAAAAACCCTCGTTCACTTGTCTTCATCATCTCCTTCCCAACCTCACGGCCCTCTCCACCGCAGCCTCCTCCACTGCAAGTCTGCAACCTCCAAGGCCCACCACACAGGAACTTCGCCGCCTCCACCTCAGCCGCCACGTCTCTCGCCCGCCTCTCGTCTCTCCTCTCGCACTAGCCCCGGTCTCTGTCCATTCCCTGGTTGTTTCAGCCTTTAAAGTATCTTCAATTCAATCTCCGGCCCTCTGAGAATATGTTGATTTTGTGACTTAAATGAACTGAATCTCGATTGTGAGGCTGTGACTGAAATTTGTGGTTTAAAAATATGAATTTCAGGCTGAAAATATGTTAATTTCGGGGCATTTGAAGCTGAATTTTGTGAATTTGTGATTGTGATGTCTGTTTGAGGCTTAATTTGTGAGTTTGATGAAATTTGTTGTTGAGAATTGGGCTTGACAGTTTATCTTTAACTGTGCGAATCAGACAAATGTATCAAGTTTCTGTTATAAATTTAAGGTAGAGACAACTGTACTTGACAGTTTATCTTTAATTTGTGAACACAAATAACATTTTTGTGAATCAAAACCGGTTGGGGTGAAAGCACGGGCTTGTTCAAGGTCCACGGTCAATGGGCCGGTTTCCAGAACTTGTGGCCGGGCCCTTTTATTTATTTATTATACTTTTTTTATATGTTAATCCAATAACCCAACCTAAATTGGTGTACACAGGCCCATAAATTTTTCACTCTCACGAGCCCATATTCCCCCTTTGGGCTTCTTTCTCCACACCTCGGTCGCGCAATCTGAAACAGGGCTTCTTTCCCCGTCTTTTTTCTTTGTCGGAGTGG